TTGTGGGGGGGGGGGGGTGTGTGGTTGGATATATAGGATGCAAAAATAGATTCTCTTGTTTGTTGCTTCATCTAATGGTGTATAATGGACTACCCCAGCATACAGAAAGGAGATTTAATTAGGATTGGTTAGATGAAAGTTTATATGCATAGCTAGGCCTGTTTGACTGTGATGTATAACATGAAAAACTCATTTCATTGCGAAGTAGGGACACTCATCTCGAAGGAATGGTGGAGATCGAGTGCCAGATCTTCTATTCCAGTAACTTTTGCTTAGATCATATATTTATATTAGATAATTCATTAAACATCTATTAATATCTGATTGAGAATTTAGTACTAAAACGAGTTATGGGTTTGGTGGCAAGTTCAGAAATCATAAACTTCAATGGCTTACTTCTGTCACTAACATATCAGTAGGGTTGTTCACGGTTTGACCGAAAACCGAACCAAACCGATATTTTTGTTGATTTGGATTGGTTTTGGTTTTAAATTTTAAAAACCGATAATATTTGGTTTGGTTTTGGTTCTATTATAAAAAACTGAAAAAACCGAACCGAACCGATTAATTATATAAAAATATGAATAATTATTGATATATGATATAATATCTTTTCGTAAATAATTTTAAATACTTTATGCATTTTAATTATTATTTTAAATTTTGATTTATCTTACTTATATCTTAAAAGATTGCCTAAGCCCAAAAGAATAGGAATTTGCCAATTTTCTTTTCCTTAAGAGAATCTAATTCTCTAACCTACACACATACTTTTTCCTAATAAAAGAGTTAGAAAAAAAATCTACGACAAGAGTAAAGAAAGCAAACTCAAATTGCAAGACTATAGTAGCTAAAGCCTGAGAAAGTAAACTTTTAGTTTGTTTTTTGTTCATTTTTTTCGTATAAACAGGTAAATAAATTTTCAGTTCCGAAATAAATATATAAAAAAGCATAAATTTAGCAAATTATTTTCAGATTGTTATCTAGTGTTGTTTTACTATTATCGACTTATCATTAGCTTACTAGGAACCGAAAAACCAAACCAAACCAACAAACATATGTTTAAATTGGTTTGGTTTTGGTTTTAATCAAAAACCGGTCAAACCGAACCGTGAACACCCCTAAACATATGTTTTGCTACATTGACTACGGACCAAAAGCTACTTCGTTGGAGTAAGACACAATGGTTTAGAGCCTAGTTACAATTCGTAGCTACTGTTCAATTGTTATCAGCTTGTATCACTTGTATTCATTACTCATACAATACTAGCTACTATTCAGTTGTTACCAACTTGTATTACTGGTATTCGTTCGCTTTATATGGTTGTATCAACGCATGCAATACACTGAAATACAATGATACATACAATTACTGTATCACTGCATGTGATTCTATACATTATATATACTGTATTTGCCATTGGGATTTTGCAACAAAATACAAAGAGTAGCTACAAATTGTAATTATTTCGAAGTGTATTTATGTATGGTTAATACAGTGTATAAGTTAGTTACACCATGTAATTCTTCCATCAAATAATGACCCAAAATTTGTAGGGGCATTTGCATCTATACCCGCTTTTTAGGTCACGTTTTAACTTGTGCCCGCTTTGCAAAAAAAATTGCAAGCGTACCTACTTTTTCACGTAACTTCAGCATACGGGGCTGAAGTAGCAAAGGCAATCATGCAAAACTTCAGCATTCTAGTAGACGGGACTGAAGTAGCAAGTGTGCTGAAGTTTTTGTTTGTAATTGCTGAACTTAAGCATAGTAGCTGAAGTTTCTGTTTGTAATTGCTGAAGTTTTTATTTTTGTAACTGGCGAACTTCAACTCTAGAGATGAAGTTTTTGTTTTGTAACTGTCGAACTTCAGCTCTAGAGCTGAAGTTTTTGTTTCTAACTTGCGAACTTCAGCTCTAGAGCTCTAGGGGGCATGTTGTACCCACACGAAGTAACTTAAAGCAACATTAACAAGAACCAAGAAACATCAACACATTACCAATCCAATTGACAACTGAAATCTCCAATTTCTGCCAGACCCAATTCACCAAACAACAATATAAAATTAATAATTAATTTCTCTTGTCCCATTTTCACATCAAAATTGTGCAAAAGATTCAAGTTGCAAAATCAAGATAGAACCTTTACAGTTGAGGGCGTCGGTGAAAAGGAAAAAATAATTGAAAGGAGAAATAAGAAGAAGCAGATAGGGATGAACCTTATTTCTGGAAAAAGAAAAGATAAAACTTTGAGGAGGAGAAAGGATGCTGAAGTTGTTTAAAAAGTGGTTACAAGTTAAAACTTTTTTTAAAAAATGGGTATAGGTTAAATGGGGGGTGACCAAATAGGGCGCCCCTTGCAATTTTTACCAATCTGTAGTGTATTTAAGTATTGTTAGAGTGGATCTGGTCCAAGATAGGCATCTTAACCTTGGCCCAGTGGTATAGTTCATAGGGGAAAAGACAAGAGTACCTATAAAAGTAAAACTATTTACCCTACTCTACCAATAAAAGAATTCTACCCCTTAAATAATTATAATCTACCCATTTAATAAAAAAATAGGTATCTCAAAATAACTACCCCACGCTAATACCCTACCTATAAAAACGTAAAAGCTGCTCAAAATTTCAGAAAATACGCGCACAAAATTGCGATTTCCACCGGCATCCCCTAATATGAAGATTGTAAGTGTGAAAAAAAGAGCGAAGATGCTGATTTCTTTTTACAATTCGAGTTTTTCTCCTAAAATTTTGTAGAAGTAGCTGATTTTGACTTTGGAAGATGCTAAAACTTTTGTTGCTCAAACTCGCATCTTATTTTTCCAATTTTGATTTCGTTGACAGAGCAGAATATCAAAAATTATAAGTATTACAGAAGTCTCAAACTCCTGAATTTTTAGCTGAAAATTCTATTCTCAGTTTGGAGATCTAGAGATCTAGAGGTTTGAATCATAACAGCTGGTTTGATTTCGAAAAATCTTTTGTTGAAATTCAATATTTGACATAACACTGTTGAAATTTGCATTGTTGAGATTCAATTTTGGACATAAAAGTGGTTATAACTTTAGAATCATGGAAAATATACCAATTCTGTTGCAGCATAGTGGAGAATGTGATGATAACAATAATTTCATAAACTTTCATGTTGATGCAATTCTAATAAAGACCTGTTGGAAATTTGAACAACTTTTCAGAAAAATTGCAAAGCAACTGCAAAAGGATAGTAACACAGTAGTTATTCAGTATGCTATCGCTCAAGGATATCTACCAATTACAATTTGCAGCGATATGAGTGTTAGTATTTACATGCAATTGAAAAAATCAAGTGAAGGATGACAACACTTCCCCTGTGTGCGTCGTTTGCTAAAAATACTATAGCTGCAAGCACCTCCAGTTTCGATGTTGCTCCAATTTCATCAAAAATTGCACAATTTGAAATGATTAATACGTTTGATGTGCAAGAAGGAGATGACAGCAGTATAGAACTTGATGATGCAAACATCATAACTGATCAATTTCATCAAAAAGTTAAAAATGGACAAATTTACAAAGACAAGAACCTGCTAGCTCTCGTTATGAAACAGTATGCCTTTAGAGAAAAATATCAATATCGGGTTGTCTGCGTATTTTCAAGTAAAAAACTTTGGGATACCTATAAAGTATATAATTATGCTAAATGATTATACTATGCGAGTATGGAATTGTATTGGTTTGTCTGTGTTTTTTATCAGTGATACTGGTGTAGTATATAAGTATGTTATATCAGTATACTATGCGAGTATATAATTGTACTGGTTTGTGTTTGTTATTATCAGTAAAACATAATACCAATATAGTATATATGTATGCTAAATTAGTATACTATGTGAGTATAGAATTGTGCTAGTTTGTCTATGTTTTTTATCAGCAAAATATGATACTAATACAGTATATAGGTATGCTATATGAGTATACTATGTGAGTATATAATTGTACGGATTTTATGTGTGTTTTTATCAATAAAACATAATACATAACTGTATTTGTATTATAAATAGGTACACCCTTGAATGCGTGGATGAAAGATGCACTTGGAGACTTAAAGCATCAAGCCTGCAAGCATCAAATCTTTTTCAAAGTGACGGATTTCAATTATGCCCACAG